CTTTTTTATGGACTTGCAGTTGACCATTTAGATATGGCTGCTTACAGTGGCGGCGCGAACTATTTCTATAAATGGGACATGTTCATTTGATCTACCCACCCACATATTTTTACGAGAAAAACACATTTGAAGTTTTGCCCCAAAATACTTCTAAGCAGTAGTGGATTTAGGGGTGTGTGAGCTAGTCGATATTACCCCCCCTCCGATATTTATTTATTAAAAAAAAATAATATTCAAAATGTTTTTTATAGTTTTAAGTGAAGTCATGACCTATAAAAGTGTACTTTATGGAAAGGTGAGCTTACAAAAGGAGCCAGAGCCCAGGCAGACAGATATCCTCTAGGATATCTGTCCTCCTGGCTCCTAATGTAAACAGTTTTGGTCATATCGAACACTAGAAAAAAATCCTAGATATGCCACTGCCTCTGGGCACAACTATAATCTTATAATTTGGAAGGATCTAGATATTTATAGGGAAAAAATGTAATTAGTCCAATATATAATAATAAGTATTGTGTAAATTGTGTATTAATCTAAGAATACATTAAACATTTTTTAAGAAGATTTGATGAATTTCCAAAAGTATTAATTGCATCTTCAATGTTTATTTCCTTATCTCTCTCACTCGAAAGAATCAATAGACTTTCTAATCTAGATTGCCCCATTGTTGAGCGTAGTCTTGTTTTAATTAATTTGACCTGAAATATTTAAATATAAAATAATACAATATAAATCTCCATTGTAAAGAATTAAATGATTTATTTAATGTTTACCTTTGAAAAGCTTCTTTCAGCTGAAGCTGACGATGAGGGCATAGTACATAATCCTTGGTAAGCTAAATACAAATTGGGAAATGCTGACTTCAAATCATGAGTAGAAAGAAGATGCATTATTTCCAATGCAGTTGGTCCATAACTTTTTGTATTATCTTCAACTACTGTTCTTTCATCATCTGATGATTCGTCATTTGAATCCATACCCAACATATTTTCTGAAGTTTCAATGACATTTGAATGAAGTTCTGTTGGTAGTGTTGTACAATTTATCAGCTCTGTAATATTTTTGCTGAATACAATATATTCATTCTTCAGTTTATCAACATTTATGTCTTTTATCCATTGAGATAAATAAAGAAACGAGTCTTTAGGCATTGCATTTGGAGATCTAGAAATTTCCATTAAACGGTTTGGAGAGAGAAGTGATAAATCCTTAAAAATTTCTCTAGCTCCATTATATCTGTTGTTAATTGATGTTTTGATTTGATCCAACGCTGTGAAGTATGTATTTATTTTGAATCTACATTAAAATAGTAAAATAGTAAAATCATTAAATTCATTTTATAACTGTTTTAATAATTATACCTTTCTGATGGTGAAACAGTTATTTCATCATTTACTTGTTCACCAGACATTTTCTTTTTTTTACGTACACGAGACTCTTTAAAATTTGATTCTAGTAAATTATGATCTATAGAAAATTGTCTGGACTCCCTAACTAGATCAATGAACTTTTCATCGGAACGAAGTGCACCTAATTGTTTTTTAGAATTGTCTATTAATTGAAAAGCTTGAATAAAATCTATATTTTTTGATTGTAAGTAACATGATGTAGGAGTTGTAATTGAAAATATTCTGCCCATCAACTTTAAAATCAATATGAAAGAAAAAGATGAATTTGTTTGTAAGAATATGTTTGCATTTGAAGATGTTACTCTATCTGTTGAGCTGGATAAAATTTTTAAAGTGTCAATTAATGCATCAAATTTATCATGAATCACAGAAATAACGCGGTCATGTGACGTCCATCTGGTATCAGAAAAATTTTTTATCTTCCTAATTCGGTCCTTAGATTTTGATCCCACATTTAAATTCTTTTGGCAGTCATAAAATGTTGCTGTACGTTTTCTAGCCCTCATGTAACTTACTAATCCTTGTAACTCTCCAAAAAAATTTCTTATCTCTGTAGTATAGTCTAAAGTGTCAACTATTACCAAATTCATTATATGGGCAAAGCACCACACATATACTGCTCTTGGGTTTTCATTTTGGATAAGAGTTTTCAAACCAGAATACTCCCCTTGCATTGTAGCAGCTCCGTCATATGACTGTGCACAAAGATCTTTTTTCCAATCAATTTGGTACTTTTCAGTGATACAACAAAAAGTATCAAACATCCCTTTTCCGGTCGCATCAGTAGCTGCTTCCAAGCATAATAATCGTTCATATGGTTTACCTTAAAAATAAGAGGCATATTGATTTTAGTTAATATGAAAATTTCAATTACATTTTTTAATAAGTACCTTCATGAATATATCTCACAAGAAAAGTAAATTGCTCTATGTTAGCAACATCAGTAGTGGTATCAATTATGACAGCAAACAAACCACTTTGCTTCAATTCTTTAACTATAGATAACCGCACCTGATTTGCCAAAATTTTTAAAAGGGAATTCTGAGATTCGTGTGACATAAATGTTAGCCGATTTCTTTTTGGTGACCAAACTTTACTTAAATGCTTCATTAAAGGCCCATGATATTCTCCAATAAGTTTCAACATCTCTATGAAATTACCTGAAAATATTATTTTTATCGGTTAAAATATCAAAATGTCAACAATAAAATTGACATAATATACTATTTAAGAATTAAAACCAAATTTTTTTAACCATAACATTACCTTGATTTTGGGATATAAGAACTTCGTCATGACCTCTTAATGCAATATTTTGCTTAGCTGAAAATAATAAAACCTT